TGGCCACCTGGCCCCAACAAGCAGCTCCTCACGCCTTACCTCAGCCCAACGCTGGGCACCGTCCTACAGAACCAGGGCTGTGTGCAGAATGCTCAGCCCCTTCCCCAGGCAGCGCCGAGCAGCACAAGGAAGGAGGAGCTGCTTCAGCATCAAATGCAGACGGGGGTGTTGGAATGAAACCATCAGCTCACTCATGTTTGATATCCAGTGAGCGCTGTGAGCGCTGGGCTGACGAGCAAGACAAGCCTGCTTGGCGTTCAGCTGGATTCCTGCAGCCTTGCTAGGGATCCTCTATCCACAAGAGCTGATTTTTATGGCCTTATTACAGCCAGCAGCTGCACAGCTTAGAGTTACCTGCTGTAACAATGGCCCACAGCGACCAGGTAGATTTAAAAGCACCCTGAGCGTCCCTCGTGCTGAAGCCACGTCGTTCCCAGCCTTCTTCCCATACTTGCAAATGCTCCAGATGAAAGGGGCAAAGTGTAGGTGGAGAATGGGAGTTAGTGACACAGGCTAATCAGGATTCTAATCATGCTAATAGCTGTGATTAACTGCATACTCCTCCTAGAAGCTTCCCGCAGCTTCGCACAGCAGCGTGATACCGGAGCGCTGCTCATCCCCTTAATCTCCAGCTGCACCACGTGTGTCATGGACATTCCCCATACTTAGCCCTAATCCCACCCACACACCAAACCTTCCAGCAGGCCAACATCAGCATTATGGGCAGGGTACAAGAGAAGCTATTGCTCCACAAGGCTGCAAATGAGAACTGTTCCAAACAAGAGCTACTACACATCAGCCATCCCTCCTTTGCAGTCAGCACTGTGCCCCTCTCAGGAGAGCTGCTCAGCAGTGCTGCTCTCATAGGGAGGGCCGGGAGGAGCCAACAGGGACCGCAGAGCCGCATAAACACTGCTCTGCAGCAGCAAGGTGCCTGGCAGGCAGGGAGAAATGAGAGCCTCCCCACTGCTCCCAGGAGAGGACTGATTTACAGCAGCACGGAATTACCACCACCATCCACCTGCCAGCAGGAACAACAAGGGAAGAGTGTGTACTACAGAGCCTGACCACGCTCCACTTACACACACATGCACTGGGCATCCAGCGGTGCCCTATGCTTCCACCAACACTGCACCTCTGGTGCTCTGCACAGCAGTGGCTGCAAACACACTGCTATTGGGCCTGCCAGCATTTACAAGGATCACAGAATGGCCTGGGTTGCAAAGGAGCACACTGCTCATCCATTTCCAACCCCCTGCTATGTGCAGGTCACCAACCAGCAGCCCAGGCTGCCCAGAGCCACATCCAGCCTGGCCTTGAATGCCTGCAGGGACGGGGCATCCACAGCCTCCTTGGGCAACCTGTTCCAATGATATGGGCATGTATGACAGCACACAGAACCTAACAGTTTACTGTGAGGAGGTTTAAGACTAAGCTTGTTTGGGAACAGATGCATCCTGCCCAGCAAACCCTTGACGCTATCCTATTAAAAGTGCTAGAGCTCACAGACTCCCTCAGCATCGCCCCAACATCTGTCCATAATCTTTTGGTTTTAGAATCCCAGAACAATGCAGCTTTAGTATCCTGGTCTGGTATCAAATGTGGAGGTTGGTGGCCCTGCCTGTGGCAGAAGGGGTTGGAGTTCGTGATCCTTGAGGTCCCTTCCAACCCGGGCCATTCTGTGATTCTGTGCTTAGTATCAGGAAAATGACTTCACAAACTGATTTGGAACATCTGAAGTCTCACAGATCGGGTTCACAGCCCCCTGTGAGCAATGCAGGGTGCTCACACGAGCCAGAAGCGTTTCACTGTTTTGTTACCAAGCAAAAAAATCTGCATAACATCCACAGCAACCGATTCCACTGACCTTTCCTTCCCACCAGAAATTCTTTCACATGTGCAAAACACCGAGTCATGAAGTTGGCTTCCGAGCTGTGGGAGGCTGCAAATTCCCCACCAGCACAGCTCTGCCTGCTGGCTGCATGCACCCATCCCCAGGGCTGCCAGCAGCACAGCCCAGAGCACAACCATCCCTGGGGAGCCCAGCTCTGCACACAAGCAGTGAGCGCCGACCCGCTGTGCCTCACCTCCACGCTGGGATCACAGAGCCCTGCGCTGCTCTACGCAGGTTTCACTGGCCTCGAAGAAAAGAAAATCAGTTTGATACCACTGCCACAACACGAGGAAGCCACACACACCGCCCTCTGACTAAGCAAGAGACTGAGCTATTTTAGCTGGGGCAGGAAGCATCTACACGGAGCCACAGGAAATAGCATCTGCCTTCCAGAGCAGCATCAGCTGCAGGTCTGCCTCTGAAACTCCACAGCACTCACACCAAGTGCAGCCTGCCCTCCAAAGCAGCCTGGCAGCAATGTGATGAGTAACAGGCCTGCAGCTCCCAGCTCCCTGAGGAAGAGACTTGAATTTCATCTTCCACCTTGCCTGGACGAGCAAAATAAATTATTTGGGATATTTTCAGACTAAAACAAGGTACAGCTGTAATTTATTTGTCTTTTAAGTAACCATCACTTTCATTTGAATTGCAAGTGGCTCGAATTCATCCTGACAGACTTACAGCCAGTCTGACCAGTGGTTTCCCTTAGTCAGAACTGTGGCACATATCAGCCTTTGGAAGCACACACATCAGTGCTTCATAGAGACAAACATCACTCAAGGACTGAGTCGCTGCTTGAAGATAACAATGGGGAGTTTATTAGGATCACAGACTGGCCTGAGTTGCAAAGCACCACAGTGCTCATCCACTTCCAACCCCCTGCTGTGTGCAGGTCACCAACCAGCAGCCCAGGCTGCCCAGAGCCACATCCAGCCTGGCCTTGAATGCCTGCAGGGATGGGGCATCCACAGCCTCCTTGGGCAACCTGTTCCATTACACAGGGCTGGGCTGAAGAATTGATGGGTACAAACCAGACCTGAACTCTATAAGAATTGGCTCAGGTTCATTTCTTTCTGGGGAAGAGAGGCAACCACTAAAACACAACAGGGTTTGGGACCTCAGACATAATTACTGCTCCATTCACCAGCACTAAGGCTGACTCAGCCCTTTTACAGACTCCAGAAGGAACACGTAATTTATTTGTTTAAAAGAAGTATTCATCAGAGCTCATGAAATAAGCTGAGGAATGGGAACCCAGTCACATCCCATCGGCCCTGCAGCCCCACTGGCTGCTCCTTTAGAACAACACTGGTTTTCACTCTTTGTTCTGTTTCTCTGTGTTATTCCACCTTTGCTCAGTGTCATTCCTGTAGAGACACACATGACAGACTTACTGACACCCCTCAGTCTTACAGTCAGTCAGCCTCAGATCAACTCTTCTCCCTTTGGGAGAATCACTCCTCACTGAGGGCTCCTCATTCCACAAAGAAAGCAGAGGGCATTGCTGTTATTGCAACAGAAACTCAACTGAGTTACTTTTAAAACTGAAAACTTCACTTTTTTTGATCCGGGGGGATAAAAAGTCACGAATTCACCAAACAACCAGAAGGACAATCAGACATTTCAGTGGCTCTCATACAGCAGGGGAAGGTGGGGGCGCCAGCAACTCAGCCAGCCAAGCAGGCACTTTGATAAGAGTTCCACAGCAACCTCAAATATTGCTGAATTACTGCTTATCTGTCTCTCTTAAATAAAGTTAAGCACATTACAACAGTACACTGCATTATACCAGCAAAATACATAATACCAGATGGAATAATTCAGTCCTAACAACGCGGCCATCAGTGTTACAGCTGCAGACCTCCAGCACAGGCCTGCTCCTTCTGTTTGGAAAAGGCAGCCACAGCAAAACCTCACATAAAGCCCTGCATACAGAGGACATGAGGAGGCACTGCGCAGGGCTCATGGGCCACCAGCTGAAATGCAAGGGTGGCACTTCAGTGTCCCTCTTGCTATTCAAGGAGCTTTCAGGTACACTGCTGACGGAGAGCATGGCTCCCTGGGAAGGGAAACTTGGCTTGGAAAGAACTTGTTAGAAAGTTAAGGTAAAGACTTTCTTTACCAAGAGAGTGGTGAGGTGCTGGAACAGCTGCCCAGAGAGGCTGTGGATGCCCCGTCCATGCCTGAGGTGTTCAAGGCCAGGTTGGATGGGGCCCTGGGCAGCCTGGGCTGCTGTGAAATGTGGAGGTTGGTGGCCCTGCATTGGTGGGGGGTTGGAACTTCGTGATCCTTGAGGTCCCTGCCAACCCAAGGCATTCTGTGATTCTGTGACTTATGGGGAAACAGATGAAAATTGTGTTATCATTATCATTATTTACTTCACATACATCACACATACAAAGTGTACCTTTATATGTGTAAAAACGGGCTCCATACGCCGGCAGATCACAAATGTGACACACACACACACACACACCTCGCCAGACGCAGAGCTCACACAAAGCACCAACACACACCGCGGGACGGCCTTCAGCAGCACAGCAGCACCTTCAGAGCTCCGAGCAGCGCCCAGCAGCCGCCCCACAGCCCCGTGCCACACCGCACAGCGGGGCGCACCCAGATGCGCGCACACAAAGGCGCCCAGGAGGCTCTGATCCGCACAGAGATCTCCGCCACCCCGCCGCGCTCCGCCACTCGCGGCGGGCACCGGGACGGCGCAGGGCAGCCCGCGGCCGCAAGGAGGGGGCGGTGGGGGAGGGGCGGGGGTCGGCCTCGGCTGCCGCGAACGGCCGCACGCCGTGCCGGGGGGGTCAGGCCGGACACGAGGGACGATTCCTCCTCGGGCAGAGCGGCCGCCGTGGAGCAGCGCGTCCGGACGCGATCAGAGCGGCGGAGCTCGCAGCCCTTCTGCACCCGAGCGGCTCCGAAGAGCCGAGTTTCTGCCCGCGCCGCAGCCCCGCCCCGCCCTTCGCACCGCCGCCCGCAGCCCCTCGCCCCCCCCGCCCGGGTGGCGGCGGCCCCGCAGCCCCTCCCCGCTCCTCCGTCGCCTCGCCGTGCCGCGCCCGCCGCAACGGAACCCCCTCCTCGCCGCCCGCGCGGCCCTTACCGCAGGCGGAGCGCGCCGGGACGGAGCCGCCCGCTCAGTGTCGCTGTCCCCTGCGGGCCCGGCGGGGGGAGGAGGCGGGGGAGGCCGCACAGCCGCCGTTGGCCTCGGGCCGAGCGCGCCGCCCTGCTGGGCCCGCCGCCGCTCGGCCAATAGCGCCGCGCCGCGCCCGCCCTCCGCCAATCGGAGCGAGCGCGGGTAGGGGGCGGGGCCAAGGAAGGGCGGGGCTCGGGCGGTGCCGCCGTGACAGCGCAGTGGGGGCGGGGCGGCGTGAGGGGCGGGAGGAGAGGGCGGGAACGGGGGGGGGCTGAGGGGACGCGGGGCGGCGGGGTCACGGGGCGGCGGGGGAGGTCGTGCTCGGATGGGGGGGACGGCTTCCTGTCAGGAGGAACGGCCGGCTGCTGGAATCGTCGAGTCGTAGGGATCACAGAATCGTAGGACGGCTTAATGGCCTCAAGGACCATCGCGGTCCCCCTCTGCCGTGGGCTGCGCAGGGCGGGCACTGCAGCTCCGGGCTGTGCCAGCGCCTCACCTCACAGCTCACCTCACCCCTCACACCTCACCTCACACCTCACTTCACACCTCACAGCTCACCTCACCCCTCACCCCACATCTCCCAGACGACATTCCCCCTCGTTCTGTCGCCATCAGACCCCGCTCCATTTCCAGCAGACAACCTCCCCCAGCACTTGGAGGCTCCCTGCGGTCTCCCCTCACCTTCCCACGGTGCCCAGCCAGGGGAGGTGAGGACAGCCATCGGTTCCAAACGGCAGGCACTGCTGGTGCTTCTGCTTTGGATTCTTAATTTCACCTCCACGAATGACCCGTTCGATCCAGAAGGATGACCCTCTTTGCATCCAGGGTGGCAAAACACATTACAGTGATGAAACGTACGGACAGCAGGATGGTAAGCGATGGAGGGCTTGCACAGCAGGCGTGGCTGCCACGCACAGGGCTGAAACCCCGAGGGGAGCAGGGAGGAGAAAGGTGAGGCTGTCAGATACGGCTCCAGTGACAGCAGCCACACAGGAGGAACCTCTGCCTTTGTGCTTCGAGGTTTGAATCACTGCAGCCTACGCACCATAGGGAGCTCACCCAGGAGCAGGAAGGAGGTGAAGCCCACCTGCTGGCAGTGAGGTCTGTGTGTCACGCACCCAGCCCCAGGGAGCTGCAGGGCTGCTAAATCTCATAGAGAACACGCCACGCTGCCCTGCTAGATAAGGGAATCAAAGCATGCCTAAATCCAAACAGAAACAGGCGTGTCCCTCGTGTCTGGTCACTTGGAGGAGGGAACACCCTTTGCATCAGGCTGTGGGAAGGGGCACACCCCATCCCTGTGGAGCTGAGGGTGCAGCTTCTGCCCCCGACCCCTCCTGCCAAACTGGAGAGTGTGGGTTCCTTTCCAGGGCCGCAGCCTGTAAGGACAAGGCAGGGGAAACCCCGCGTCCCGATGAAAGGCACATGCATAACAACTGCTTCTACCATGTGCTATTTTTAAGCTTGAGATAAAATAGTTTCCCAATGGCTTTGGGAGGATTGGCGATGGTTTGAATTTCAGGGCTGTTCCAGCTTACCCAGGGCTTCAGATCAGCACAGCCTTAAAGATGCCTCTGTCCTCCTTGGAAAATTCTCCTCTGTCCTCTGCTAGGTGTGGTCAGAGAAGGGGTAAGCCCTGGTTCTAGTGTAGGACAGGAATTCCTCTGCCTGTGCCAAGGCTGTAACGTAACAAGAAGCAGTGGGTTACATCAGTGCTGCACTGGGGAGTACATCTGACCTGCTTTGGGCTCCAGAAAGAACCTCTGTTTGTTCACTGAGCCCCTCATTTATTCCCTAAATTTAAAATGTGAGCATCCAGAGCCTTGTCTTCAGCGCAGTGATCGCACAGGAGCCAAACCATCGGTGCTTTAAGGCAACAGAAGGCCCAAACTTCACTCTGCCAAGCAACTGCTTTGGTAACGCTCTCATCCCACCGAGGCACACACAGTTACCATCAGTCGGAGCAGGAGGCAGCCCTTCCAGTGATGGATGTGTCCATTCTGAACTGCACGTCACTGCTGCCCCCCGCAATCCCAACATCTACAGAGCACCGCACGTGGAACTGATGAAATGAGAATGTGCGGACCGTGAGCTGCCCAAAAGCTGTGCTGCTATGGAAAGGAGGCACATCTTCCTGCAGCACGTGGCACTGCTGCCCGGACAGCTCGCTGCCACCACTGCTCTGCCACACACACACGTTGGCTGAGTGCATCCTTCTGTCCCAGCCCTGCCTGTGCAGCAATGCTTCGCACACCCTGATCCGGGGTGGGTTTTTATCCCGCTGTGCACAGCGTCTCGTTACACTGGGATTCAGGCTTCCTGATCTCCTTAGGTCCTGTCCTGTCCCAGCTGACGCCAGTCACGTTTCTATGGTTGGCCTCGGAATGAGCAGGATGGAGGAGAGGTTTCACAGCTCAGCTTACATCTGAGGAACAGAATAACTCGTTTCTGACCTGAAGGAGCAGTGTGTAGTACGAGCTACATCTCTCCTCAGAGCAGATAAATTCTCATAACTCTTCCGAAACCACCAACGTGAGGGCAGGCTGAAATCCCAGCAGGGCTTGTTTCAAGGTGAACAACTGACTGATATGTTCTCTTAGTTGATACTGCACTTACAAGCATAGCTATTGCCGTTTTATTAATCTAGTTTAGTACCAAACCTCCCTGTTTTCACCTAAAATCTAAACTGTTGCTTGCTTTCTGGGAGCAGCTCAAGGACAGACTGCATTCGCAGCCTCTCTCTGTGCCTCCCCCATGCAGAACTTCAGTGTTTCATTTATCTTTGTTTCTCCCTCAGACGAATATAACCTCCTTCTCCTCTTGCTTTTCCAGCTTCCCATGCCAGACCCCTCAGCCCGTTCTCAGCTTCACATGGCCTGAAAGGGAGGGGAGCAGGAACCACCTTCCACGTCACAGGGAGGCCAAAATCTATGTGACACCACAGGTGTGTCTGCCCTGGTAATAGAGGGGGACTGATTTTTGTGAAGGAGCTGTGGGGAGAGAAGCTTGGCAGGCAATGGCTCTGCTTTTCCATCAAGCCAGACAGTGAAAGTGAAGGGAAGAAAGGGAAGGGGACAACCTGCTCGTGTCCCTGCAGGGTCACTGCTGGCCATCCCTGTGAGTCTGGCAGGGAGGAGGGGTGGGCCAGCAGCTGGGCTGAGGGCTGGCCTGGCTCACATCGCATGAGTCACCTGGAGTCACACGCAGGCACCGAGGGAGCTGGAAAGTAAGAGCTTGTTTCTGGTTAATGCACATTCATCTCCACTTAGATAGGAGCCACAGCAAATTAAGGACGCCGAGTGATGTGGCAGGGCTTGGCTCTGCTGATTCCAGGGCATGGACAGCAAAAGCCTTGGAGAGAAAGAGGAAGGAGCTGGCAGCTCTCTTGCCCATTTATGAAGGGATTGTCGTTCACTCCTCAGCACCCATGACAGCCGAGGGTGAGCCCAGCAGGGCTGGCTGAGGGCTTCTGGCTATGCTGGGATGCTGCTTTCAGAGCCGCTCGTTGCTGAAGGCTTTGCTGTCATTCCTCCCATCTCTCACTCATTTCAAACATGCAGCAGAGCTTCCAGAGGGGTCTCTTTCAAAATTGCTCATCGGAGAGGCAGTTATTAAGCAGTGGATCTGAACCCTCTGTAGAGAAAAAAAAGTTGAGCTAGATCTCTGAAGCGTTTGAGTGGAGCAATGAATCACCCCACAGCAGCCTCTCATTTCCAGGAAACGTGGCTGCCTGTGTGCTTTTGAAGGTGAATGCCTCGAAGCATCTTGCAGAATTTGAATGCTGCTACAAAACTGCCCTGCAACTTTCACTCCCATGCCCCAGCCCTCATTTCACATCCACTTCCCTATCATGAATCAGGATGCAAGAAGCTACCCAACCACTCAGTCAGGCAGCGCTCAGCCCCAGCGACAACAGCAGCGTTTGTGTGTCACCGGCAGATATTTGCCAGGCAGACTGAGCTGTTGTGCTCGTTGGAGCTGACTCCAGCGTAATGGAAGGCATGGAATTTTGGCCGGGGATCTCTGCTGTCCCAGCGACCCGTTGAGTCTCTCTGGGCAGTCATGAGGTTTGCCTTGCAGGTAGCACGGCCCTGATCTCCTGATCTGAGCCCCGTGGGGAGCTCTGCAGTGCTGCACCAAGGCCAGGACCCGTGGTGGGGCTCTGCTGCCCCAGGAGTGCTGGAGAGAGCACAGCTCTGCACCCCAACACCTGCTGTGGGCAACCTGATTTCCTACAGAAGAAGAGAACCTGCAGACACTGGGGTCATGGGCTTGTTGCTGGATCTCACAGCACTCTTTAAGCACGGGAGGGCAGCCATACAGGGCTCGGGCCCTCTCCCCTGTTAGCATTTAGCACCAGGCTGGCAGAGCTGCTCCCATCTCTACCCTGGGCCTCCATAAACTGCACCCAATTATTCCAAGGCAGAAAAATTGAGTCTGTGCTGTAATGACAGAATGAAAATATCCTCCGGATCCTGTGCAGCCTTGAGTTACCTTTTATAAATAGGTTAACAGCTGGAGGGCCTGTGTTTGTTTAAAGGGAAACGACACTCAGTACGTGCCCTATATGATGTGCTCCGTCATCAGTAATTCTGCCATTCTGCCGATTTATATCTGGAGATTAAAGGATTTACCTTTCAATAAAATTATTTTCCTCAAACTTCTAAACTGGGGAGAGAGGATTTCGATCACCCTGCCATGCTGTGCAGCTCTATTCTTGGTGATGCTTTGCTTTCCCCCTCGCTGTGCAAAACACGCTGCTCGATTCCTCCTGGTGGCTTTGGCTGTGGTTTGCTGTTCCTGCCCTGCTCCTGGTGCCTGGACACCCTGGGATGGGACGGGGTGAGGGGCCTTCAGGCCCCAAGGAGCTTCCAGCCCGTGCTGAATGTAGCAGAACTGACAGATGCTGAGTGATGAGACAGAAGAAGAGCAACCAGGGAATAAAGCAGCATGCAAAGCTCCGGGGTCCCTGCAGTTTTGTGCAGGTCAGGTCCCTCCCACAGGAGCATCTCCAGGCCAGAGCCCGGTTTGTTACCATTTTCATGTCACTGTTCTCTTCACTCTTCATCAGGTCAGCTACAAGATGA